GTGTGAAAGGGTTACTCAGTTAAACTTAAATAAAGAAAATTAGAATATCGTTCAAAAGTTCATTCATTCAAGTAATTCAACTTAAAAGGTGAAACTAATATGACTCGTTACGTGCAAAGTGAGATATTTCAAGCCTTTATTTGTTATAATTTTGATGATTATACAGCTCATGAAAACTTTTGAATTTGTGATTTTCATAAGCTTTAAGCCATAATCATCAAAATTATACACGGTAGACATGCATTTCGCTTTTGAAATACTTTTCTCTTTGTCATATTTGCTGTTTCGAGTATTTTATAAAAAGAAATATCCAAACGCGGCAACCTTCATCTATTGAAAATGACATGTTTTCTCATGGCTTATCGCTTTTTTACAGTCTAGAACAGAACACTGTGTGAGAACATGGTGATAGGTCCACAATTAGAGAAATGAAGTGATAAATGCCCTTAATTAAATAAAAGCACAGAGATCCATGTTTGATTAGGTGCTGAAATTGTATTTTGGCAGAACAAACTGAATGTATTATCATGAGATAAATGAATAAATAACTTTCCCTAAGAGGTTATTGTGCTTTAAAAGTGAAATTCTGCTTAAAAAAAGCATTTTATTGTTTTATAAATCAAATGTAAATTCATGTCTCAGGTATTTTGTTTTAGTAACACTAACAATGTATTTAACTATTTATTAAAACCAAGAAAAAAAATCTCATCAAGTGAGTGTTTTAAGCATTTTACATTAATTCCAAAATAATAAGTATAAAGGTAACAAACAATATATTTTATATTTCTGAAGATCTTTTTTTGTATAGCCAATTTATTTTTGGATCACCTTTAATTTCACCCTCCAGATCGCTCACTAAAACCCCACACTGCAAAAAATATTTTTTAAGATTTGTTATCACAACATATTTTCTTTTGTCAAATCAACTTTATAATAATTTATTTAGTTGAAAATAACTTAATATTTTGAGTTTCTGATGGTTAAATTAATCTCCTTCATTGTATTAACTCACTTTTTCCAGTTCAATCAACTTAAAATTTTAAGGCAACCCAGGTTACTTACTTTTTTAAGTTAAACCAACAAAAAAAAATTATAGTGTAGTAACTAATCACAACATTTTTTCTTTTGTCAAATCAACTTAAATAATTTATTTAGTTCAGATAACATATAATTTTGAGTTTCTGATGGTTAAATTAATTAACTCACTTTTTCCACTTCAATGAACTTAAAATTAAGGCAACCAGATTACTTACTTTTTTAAGTTAAACCATCAATATTTTTTTACAGTGCACAGGTTCCAGTTTGACTTCGATATTTAAGTGTGTGAGTTGTTTGCTTACTTTTTAATGAATCAGTCTTCCCATTAGCATCATAATTTTGTTCATTCAGACCAAACACGCATGAAAACAGGAGGCGGGATTTATCGGACAAACCAATCATATCCAATCCTAACCAATTATATCATATCACTCCTCTAATGTGACTTCCCCCATTCATTCTCAATTACCCCCCATCCAACCCAGCGCATTACTTTTGCAACATGGATTATTGTCTCATCCACTTATTCCTCCGAGGAAATAATTTTAAGTCGTTAATCTTCAGAGGCGATATGAATAGCTTTCATCCCCAGCCTTTCAATACATCAATTCTTTTAGGATTTGTGTGCAATGAATCATACACAATAATAAAGACATTATGCATGCATTCAGATAATGTAAATCTCTTTAAAAAAGTAATGTGGCTGAATATAATAGATGTTAATCCACATGCTAATAGCTTTAGATTTGGGGGATTAGAAATGTGTTCAATGCACCATAATCTCGATGCATAAAACAAATTAGAGATGTGCTTGTGCATAATTCCTCATCTGAAAGTCTAGCTGATACAGTAAATCATCTTCTTCTTTCAAGAAACAGATGCGATTTTCAACAGGTTGCACATCTACTTGAAACCTTCTTATGTAATGCGTTATTAAAATATTAGTAATGCATTAATTATGTCTTGAAATGGACCTCATAATGCACTGTATGAATAATTATAATCAGGGCTTGACATTTTACCATCCACTTGGCATTTTCATGCCGCTCTATGATTTTTATAACGCATTACATAAAGGCTTCAAGTAAAGTGCAACCACACATTATCGTCGACTGAGCGCTGTGTGAAAAGCACTCTGGATTCAGATTGCTCATCATTTTGTTCTCGGTTGAAAGCAGGACACTTGGCTGAGATTGAAAGAATAAACTTTTCTCATGCATACTTTTTTTTTTTTTAAACTAATACGTCAGGACTCAGGCTTGACTTCAGATCCTTAAACACATTGGCTATTTCTCTCTTTCTCTTTCCTGTCTCAGTAAGAGACCCTCACGTGGAACAGTGAATACACAGATGGCCATTTTTTCCATTGGCATGGAAATAATAACCATACAGTCACAGAAACACAAGCCTGTTTCATACGCATGGAAATTAGGAAGGTGGGAAAAATAGCAGGCCAAAAAATGCTTCTTAAAGGGTAAATATACAGTATAATGCCATTTTTGTACAAGTTAATATGACTGTTTAGGGTCTATATGTTCTGAAAAATTTGTAATGTACTCTCGGAAAACACTCATTTTACCTGCTCTAAAACAGCTCCGTTTTCAGTAGGTTTAATCGCATCCAAAATAAAAGTTTGTGTTTACATAATATATGTGTGTGTAGTGTGTATAATTAATTTGTATATATAAATACCCACACATGCATGTATATATTTAAGAAAAATGTGTTATTAATATATCAAATATTTATATTTATATATAATATTAATTGTGAATAAATATATATAAATGCACATATTTCTTAAATATATACATGCATGTGTGGGTATTTATATATACAGATTAATTATACACACTACACACACATATATTATGTAAACACAAACTTTTATTTTGGATGCGTCCCTAGTTTTCAGCACGTCGTTTTCAGTGCATATGCCTTTAAATGATAATGAGCTTTGCTGACTCCGCCCCTCTGTTCTGTGGGCGTTGACACAACACAGTGGAGTGTTGCCTTGACAACAGTTGAGGGTGTATTTTGGATAGAGAATGGCAGCGGGAGTCTCTCTGTGCAACCGTATCAGTTTGAACCGGAGTCGCGCCGAAACAAAACCATTTCAACAATTGAATGGTTGGTTAACGTAACGTAGGTCACTTTGATCTATCTTTCTATGCACTGGCAGGGTAGAGCTGTGTGTTTACTGATGTATACGTTAGTTCATTGACAGATTAACTTTACAACTAATGGTCATGAAAAACAGTTTTTCGCGATCTGCAAAGATTAATATAAAGGTTAATACAACTTTACACACTTCTTCTGGAGGTGCAGCAGGAACACGAATAGCTGGTACCGATTCTTTTTTCAGGAGCAGCTTCTTAGTAAAACCAGCTTTATACTGACTGTTTATAGAGCAGTCTGGTGAGAAATGATTCGCGCAAACATGTACACATTGATGTTGGTCGTGGGGAATATTCCCTTCGAAAACAAAACTCACAACTCAGGAGCATCAGAATGACTGTGTTCGTTATTACACCCAAGAACAGAACAACACAATCGCTTAGACGTCATTCTGCTCAACAATGGCGGACTATGATGACGGCTCGCTCAGGTCAGGGCGGGTCTGTGTTGAAACGCTGCTGTCAATCAACAATCGTGGGAGGGGCGTCCTCGATTTGAGGCAGGGGGAAATATGAAAGAAGATTAATACAAAAACACTGTGTGGATTTGTATCATATTATGATGGTTGTGTACAGGCACTGCCAACACAACTTGTACTTGAAAAAGTGCATGTGACCCCTTTAATAAGAACTGGATTTTTTTTTCTTCCTTTTTCCCCCCTAAATTGCATTCCATTTTTTTCTTCTGAATTATATTTTATCTGAATTCCTTTTTGTGTTTTTTTCATTATAATTTTTACACTTCCATTTTAATGAATAAATTCAAATATAGTCATTGAAAAGCACGTCTAACTAATTGAGTTCAACGTATAATTTTTATAAAAAATATATAAAATAAATTATAAAATAAAAATATATAAAAAAATATTTAAATTGTATATAAAATTTAACTAAAATAACAATTTTAGGGCCCTGCATGTGAAATCTAAAAAAAAAAAAATCCAAATTTTTGTTTTAATTTTTTTTTAATGATGAATAAGGTCTTAATTATTTGTAATAACGAAAAGAAGCTCTATTTTTTATCTCTTCTAATCAAAGCTATCAATTTTTCCTCTCTTTTTCAAAGAAATGCTACAATAGATTTTTTTTTTCCGTTTGCATGGCAACATCGTGCAATTAACAAAAAGCTATATAAGAAAATTAAGGTTATTATGCAAATTAATTTTTTATTAAAGTGGATTCAGGTTCAAGTTAATGTTTTTTCCGCATAAAAACGTGTCTTTTTCTATTAAAAACAGTGCAGTCCGGTAAAGTGTGTTTAAGAGTCATTGGAGATTTGATAGAAATACTGATATTTTGCACGATAACAAAAGGCATTTCAATTTTGGAAACGTTAGCAAGCTCAAAGTGTCCAGCGTAACAGGATTGATTAATTGAAGCATATTCAGCGTGTGTGAAACGCTCTCAGTCAGAACGGGGTAGAAAATAGCACCAGCTTGTCTAACACACACACTCACAGAAATCTGCTGGCTGTCACACGCAGCGTCGATGACACCAGAAACGAATGCTGCCATGGCAACAGCAAGATACTCAAGAGAACCAACCAAATGAAATAAGCAGTGAATGTGTCGGTGGTCACATGACCCCGTCAGACAGATGTCACAGTGTTATTATTATTGATGGAATCAATAAAAAAGGCTGCAAAGTAAACGGTGAATCTTTTGGTCTTATGCAAAATGGTGCTAAATGGGTCACTTGATCAATTTACAACATTATTGATGGTGGCGAAACAGAGTTGAGCCGTGACATTAAACGATCACATAACACACACTTGGATGTTGTTACCTGTGGCTACGGTACACATTGAGGAGGAGGATGAGAAGAGCGAGGGAATAACAGGCCACATACGGGCCACCGAAGAGCCGGGTCAGGCCTCGAGTCCTGTGCTCCCATCTGGCAACCTGAAACAACACACACACACACACACACACCTGCTTTAGTAAAGGTTCTGAGACCCATGCTTTATTATCAGGGGAGATCTGAGGGCAAATATAACATTTTTGACCACTGGATCGGAGACCAGCACAAATCTAGCTGTCATCTAATGGCGAAAGAACAACTTAAAAGTACAACTTATAAATGTCCCATTATATACAGAAAGACGTTTAAAACCATATATAATACATTTAAGAAAGCCCTATGGTGCTATTATAAAGACTCCTAATGTTGATTTAGAGTCAGGTTTACGTGCATCCAAGGTCAAAAAACACTTTCATTTTCTTATAATACACATTGTAGGATTTGCTCTTTTCTCTCAGTGTCTGAAACGGGTCGATTAAGGATCAAGTCTCTCTAAGCCCCGCCTCTCTGAAGAGCTGCTCTGCAGTGATTGGACAGACGGCACAAAGAGAAAAGTTCTAAAGTGTATTCAGGAGCTGCACTTTTAAATACATCAGTTAAAACTTTATCTGCATAAAAATGTATATTGGTCAGATGACCCACTCTGCTGTGATTGGCTTTGCTCTGATTGGTCAGATGACCCACTCTGCTGTGATTGGCTTTGCTCTGATTGGTCAGATGACCCACTCTGCTGTGATTGGCTTAGCTCTGATTGGTCAGATAGCCCAGTCTGCTGTGATTGGCTTTGCTCTGATTGGTCAGATAGCCCAGTCTGCTGTGATTGGCTTTGCTCTGATTGCTCAGATAGCCCAGTCTGCTGTGATTGGCTTTGCTCTGATTGGTCAGACGGCCCAGTCTGCTGTGATTGGCTTTGCTCTGATTGGTCAGATAGCCCAGTCTGCTGTGATTGGCTTTGCTCTGATTGGTCAGATAGCCCAGTCTGCTGTGATTGGCTTTGCTCTGATTGGTCAGAAGGCACAGTCTGCTGTGATTGGCTTTGCTCTGATTGGTCAGACGGCCCAGTCTGCTGTGATTGGCTTTGCTCTGATTGGTCAGACAGCCCAGTCTGCTGTGATTGGCTTTGCTCTGATTGGTCAGACGGCCCAGTCTGCTGTGATTGGCTTTGCTCTGATTGGTCAGACGGCACAGTCTGCTGTGATTGGCTTTGCTCTGATTGGTCAGACAGCCCAGTCTGCTGTGATTGGCTTCGCTCTGATTGGTCAGACGACCCAGTCCGCCATTTTAAACTTAAAATAACAAGAAAAAACTAATGAAAACTGACTAACTGCATGCCTTTCAATGGAAGTGGAAACAGAGAATGTCCGAGTGTATTGGGTTAGCTGTGAACTGTGATTGGCTCATCGTGTTTGAGGGCGTGGCTTATCCATAGGTCAATTACTGACGACTCATTTCAGGCGGTTCAGAATAACTTATTTCTTTTGGGAGAAAATAACTCCATTTATCTTTGATCTTCGAAACACTTCAGACCTTTTACATTCACAACCAGTTATATCACACTAAAGGAAAGGCAGCATAACAGGGGCACTTTAAAATAAGTGTCAGAGTGTTACAATTACAATTAAAACATTAACACTACTTGATGTCTATAGTATTCTGTACTAGATAATTAAAAGTTAACAGTATTATTGCTTTGATATTTCAGTGGGTGAGACAAAACAGTCTTTACCTTAAATTATTGCAACAAAGTTTCGCTTGTGAGATGCTTTTTTAACATTATTGAATGAGGTCACTTTTCATTATTATCCAGTCCAATTCAACCATTTTAAATATGATTATTTTTAATATTTTTTTTTTATTTTTGCATTCATAAAAATTAGTGTTAAATTAATGTTATAATACAGAATTATACTATATTTATTTAAAATACGTATATTTTTATGCATATTTGCATGGCAAAACCTGAAGGTAAATATAACCTTAGATTATCTAGTTTAATTACGGCTAAATATATTTACAATCGTTTGCATATGTTATAAAGAATATTCAGCACTTCAGATCAAGTCTCGTCATCAGATTCTTTTGTGGATCTCTCTCACAATAATTGAAGTGACTTGTCCTCACACAACCTGAGTTTGTGTTACTTCTCCAACATGCATAATGTACAAACAACAGCCGTTTCCAGCTTTTGAACTCATGAATGCTCTCTCTATTTCTTTCAGGAGCCTCTCCAAACACACGCTGAGGTTTTGTCTGTAATCGCTCTCCTGACTGTATGGATATTCACAGTCCGTGCCTGTATTCTGGGCTCTTATCTGAATTAGAGCTGCTGAAACACATAATTCATGAGCAGAGAGCCTCTCTTCAGCGATTCCCGGTTCGGCCCGGGTCACGGCACCAGCGATTACAGCTGATAACGTGATTAAGAGTTTCGGCCAGCACTAATCAACAACTTCTGAGAGGTCGATGAGAAGCCAGATGGTAGTTATGACCTGAAACAGTTTCACTGGCAGATATAGTAACACACACTTGTTTTGCTTTGCAAATCCTGTAGGTAAATCCAGGTGAGCGAGTCTGCTAATTGGGAAAAATAAAAGTTTTGACTATTGCATGCTCTCGAATAGCACCGCTAATGCAGAGACTCGTATTTCACAAGATGGGAATAAATGAGGCAGAACGTGGAGTAAAACAGTAATTTGTTCGAGGTGTTTTGACAAATAAACGTTGTAAATCAGTTTAGAAACTTAACTTTATTTAACCATTTTCCATGACCATGAATGTCAAGAAACCACAAAATCTCTTTAATTAATCATTAATTCCACAAAGCAATTTCAGTAACTGTCACTTGCCCGTATACGGGCAATCTAAATAATATAGTCATGACAAACTATATATCGTTGGAAAGGTCTAAGACTCCTAAATAGATATTTTAGCGCTGTTTCTTTCTTACAAATTATGAATGAACAGTAATATATAAATTTATGACAAGAGTGCGCCTCAAAAAAAATCAACGTCATTACAGGAGTTTCTGACCTTTGTCACAAAGAGTCGACGCAAACACTTTTAATAATTGAAACTTTGGTTTTTAGTGCTAAAAGTTCATAATAAAACATAATTAGTATTTGTCAATAAAAAAAGATAAAATTATACTTTAGAAAGTAAGGTAAGAAGTCCTATAAAAAGTATTATATATATATATATATATATACAGTATATACTGTATATATATATATCACATATTTTAGTAGCTATCATAAATTAGGTATCATTTGAAAGCTTATGAACTCAGAATTCTTCCTGTGAAAAACTGTTTTGAAATTGGACGTTGCGTTACCATAGAAACGGTATTTTTTTTATTAGGCCCCTCCCCTTTTGGGCATTATTTATTATCAAAACCTTTTCTAATCTTGACAAAACACATATTGTCAGAAAGGTCTGAGTCTCAAGGTTCCATATTTTGTGATAGAAGTGATATTTGGATAGAAATTTATTAATTTAATTTATTAATTAAATTCAATGGAATTCAATGGCACCCGGTGGCTATTTTTGGTACTACGCCTAAACAAAATCTCATGGGAACTTCAAAATTTATGATATCAACTTTAAATTTGGAACATAACTTGGTTAGCTATATAGCTTTAATTTTATCGTAATTCTATAGTAAAAAATAGTTTGTAAAATATTTATTTTATATTAAAAAATATATATTAAGAAATTATATTTGATTTACTGTAAATTATAACTTCAGTAATAATCTGCTGATTGTTTTCTTTAAAACAAGACCAAACTTGGGTATATATTCCAAAGCATTCTTGAATTACAACCATTTAAGTTTGTATAGTGCATTTTAATGTCAATTATCAAAAAGGGGGTAAAAGCTAAAATATTAAATATTATTAAAAAATTAATCATCATTTAACCAAAAGACCAACCAGATTTTGGTTGCATGTTGCATGTTGTTTTTATTATTTAATTAAATCATTATTATAATTTAAGGGGTTTTACTTACTAAATTTCAAACATGATTCAATCTGAAATTATAGGCTGTTGTAACATCACTGTTTAAAAATGTAGATATACCAGTCAAAATGTGATTTTTGATCAAGGCTTTTATTTGATCAAAAGTACAGAAATATTATTACAATTTAAAGAACTGTTTTCTATGTGAATGCATTGTAAAATGTAATTTATTCCAGATAATTGTCAGCATCATTACTCAGTCAATCACATGATCATTCCAACCCGTCAAAAACAAACAAATATAATTATATAGTGTAATTTATATATATATTTACTTGACTGTCCATCGCCTGGCCTGGGCAAAAGCTTTGGGAAACTATTGGACACGCCAAGACTGGAAACTGGAACCAGGACAGGATTACTTTGGACCGGTCGTTCTGTCCTATAATGAGATTTTGGCACACAGACTTTCCAGAAAGAGTTGCACAATTTGTTCGTTTCATAATCTCAATCAAGGGTTTTCGAGGCATCGAAATGATTTGATTACTACTTCTGAAGTTATGGATCGCTAATATGCATAGTTCAATGGACTGAACGTCGTGTGCATGGAAATCAAAGCCAGTGGCAGATGATGACATTAATATGATGATAGAGCATCATTAGGATTCAATTTTAAGCAGTTGGACAGAAATCCATCCAGTGATGTGTGTGTGTGTGTGTGTGTTAGAGTCCAGTCCTCATTACAAGTGTATTATGCACGCCGGCGCTTAAAAAGAACAGAACAGAACATGCAGCGATGGCGTAAGTGTCAGGACGCCGCCATGATTATAAAAGTGCTTCTTTGGTCTGCAGAGGGACACTTTTGACCCAATAAACATGGATGTTGTGCTACAGATGTGTGTAGTCTTTACAATAGCAAAATCAGTTTTAAATCACTTTCAGTTTTCAGGCACAAAGACAAAGTTACGCATGACTAATTCTAGAAACATTATGATAATTCTATTTTGCATACATGGAGTATTGACGTACGGCTGAAGAAAAAATGGACATCCTTCCTTTATTTAAATATTTAAAAACTTGCATTCGGATTTTGTCAAGCATAGACTCTCAGAAAAAAGGTACAAAAGCTGTCACTGGGGCTGTA